GGAGTGAAGGGGACGGCGTAGTGCGGCACAATGGACACTCGCCAACAAGTGGACAGCAGAGGGGCTGCGCCCGGCCGAGCCCTGCTGTCCGCCCCGCCCCGCCCCGCGCCACCCACCAGCCAGCGCAGGCCGCGCCTGCTGCGGCGAAGAGGCCTCTTCTTCTCGCGGCGGAGAATGGAGAACGGCGTCATTGCGGCCAAGTCTATTCTATTCACGACAGCGATAAACAACTACAACGACCCGCAGCTTACGTCAGATCAACGCCCCTTTGGCCGGCAAGAGTGTGATTCAGGTGGCTCCCCGCGGCCGGCGCGGCCCGCCCCCCGGGCACGACCGGCGGACAGGAGGAGGTCCGCCTTCCCAAACGGATAATATTTTGCAGAGACCCACGCGGAGGAAAAAAAAATCGGAACAGAATACATGCCTTGTCATTCCGACAGGCGGATGTATGAAAGGAGAGACCATTGGTGAGGGCCAGCTTAGTTTATTTTTACAGTTGGTGTGTACCTAAGTTTCTATTTCGTTAGTCATCAGAGCCCTTCTTTTTCCTCTTGGCGGGTGATTCAGCTCCGCCTCCGTTCGATTGACGCTTGTTGCTCTTGCGAGTTTTCCCCCTCTTTCCGCGGTGTTCGAAAGGGTCTTCTTGGTGGACAAAAATTCGCATGCCACGAATTTTGCTTTTGTTGCTTTTTTCTAGGGCCTTGGGGATGGACTCGGCATCCTGTGATGATAACATTTGAATTGAATTCTTGTCATTACTAACTTGCAGCACGAATTATTTAACATTTATTGTTAGAAGAAAAATAACTTACCCTGAAAATGACAACACCAGCTTCTCTGCCATTAACTATATTTTTTTGTTTTGGTATTTGAACGCTCTCAATGTGACCACAATCTTGGAAGATGAGACCTAAATGTAAAGCTGTGGCTCCTGTCAAGTAAAGGTTTACAAAATCAAAGTGAGCAAGTGACAATTATTTCCTTAGTTTAAGCAGGGTTTAGTTAGTAAATTCTTACCTCTGTGCAAATTAGTCAAGAACACCATATTTGAAGATTTTTTAAGAGACTGGCTAACTGTAATGTTTTGCCCTAACAGCTCAGAACCATTCAACTGTAGTGCATTTTGCACTGATTCTTCTTCCTCAAAATAAATAACAGCCCTCTTCAAACCTGTCTTCTGATCAAGGCTTACATTGACCTTTAAAACGTTACCACAATCACGGAAGTGATTAAGAATATTAGATTCCTTGGTAGCTGAAAAAAATAATCAAAAAGTTACTAATGAAACCCAAAAGTAGCGATTAAAACATGGAATAGAAAAAAATTATGATTGGAGCTTACTGTCATGTAGGTTATCTATGAATGCCATGTACCGCAGACCAGCTGTTTGTTGATAAAGACCAATTTTCAATTGATCCTGACCACACTTGATAATAAGATTGGCAATATCTTTTGTCTGAAATCATTTCATTTTGAAATAAGTAATCAGTAAAAGTGACCATTGTTCAGGGCATTGCCTTAGCAGAAATTTCTAAAATGTCTAGAGAATTTTTCACATACCTTGCAAACGACTAAGGCACAGTTTTCATTCTGAGCTATCTGCATGTATTCAATACCTTCAAATACACCAATGAGTTTCTTAACAGAAGTCACAGTGGAACCTAAACAGAAATAATATTTTAAACTATGAAAAATTGGCCCAACAAAAAGTGGGTCTGTTTCAATAGTTAACCAACCTTCAGGTAAATTTTCTATTAAAACTAAATTACGCCGAGTCATTTGGAAACAGAACTCAAACCAAAGCTCAACTTTCAATCGCCAATTTTCTAATCGAGTACCACTTTTTTCCAGCAATGCTTGATGACCCTCTTTCTCCTGAAAGTAAGGGAAAAGAATATTTAATGAGAGATTTTAAAATACAAATTGTGCCATTCAAATAAAAATATTTATCATAACAAAACAAACCTTGCATTGTATTATTACATGGCGACTCAAAGTAGGTAGAAAGCTCATGTGGGATACACCACATTCGTCAGCATTGAGGGTTGACCAGAGTTGGGTCACATCAATTTCTAAAATTACGAGGAAGTTTGAACTAAGCTAATGGATTACATAATCAAATAACATGTTAAGTGAATGTAAATCCTATGCTAACCTTCAGGAACATCTCGAATCACAAACAAATCTGGATTGTGACCACTGGCCAAGATTGGAGGGTTCAAATCTCTGCACGCGACCACTGACTTATTATCTGCCGCTGCTTTGCCATGAAGCTTCTTTATAGCTGATGAAGCACTCTTGGCATTATTGAAAGTGACAATGAGACCCCCACGGTCTTCTACGATCTGTAATGAAAAGGAATTGTGTTAATATTTGTGGAATCAGAGAATTTTACCTGAAGATGTGAATGTCCTGTACCTGTTCAAATTCACCACACTTCTCAATTTTTTTCTTCCATTTGTCAGAATTATCAGAGACGCCATAAACACAAACAGACCTTTCGGCTACCTCTTGACTAACGAGAGCTTTGCTGAGATCAAGAGTGGCAACTGGCAAGGTTTGCACAGGCACTTTAGGTTTAATTGGTTTATTCTTCTTGTATGGCAATTTCCCCATGACTTCACAGTGGAAGACTCTTCTTTAAATGAGTTCAGTCAGAGGAGACTCAAAAATCAAATAATGGAAAAGCTACAAGGCTTACAAAAATTGGATCAAAATTGCACTTAATTTCACAGATCACAAAACTGAAAACAATGTGGTTTGAAGAGGTTAGGGAGGTTAAATGTTTTCGGTGTGTCTTTATGCTACGTCACAGCCTATGAGATTCTTCCAAATACGTTGTTGTGTGTCTTTTTCTTGTTGACAAAAGTATTCAAAGCACCAGACAGCTTCAGATAGAACATGTTATAGCCGAGAAATAAGCCTGTTTGATTTTGCGTTGTACTCACCTTTAATTAAAATGCCTCTATTGAAATGTCAAACTAGTACAAATTTGGACCATTTGAAACGGCTGTATTTCGCGCCATTACCACCGTCTTGTGCCGCCCTCTGGTGGTCGACTCGGTAGTCGTCGTATCCGCAATGCAATCTCAGTGGCCGTGTGGCGTCGACCGTCTACGACGTGCCTCGTCACGTCTTTCTCTCTTTGAAGGTGTCAGTTTGTGTTGTGATTGTGGTGATGTGTGTATGTATGAATGTGTGTTGTCAGTTGCCTTCAGTGAAACTGCTACTAATCTGTGCGGAAAACTCATTTTTGGATAGTTTGGATATTTAAACACTAACCTTCGAGGTAAGTTCTCACTTTACCGACACTGCTGCTCGCTCACTGATATTAATCATCGAAATGTTGTAGTTCAGGCTTATGTGATAGTAATCTCACGTTACTGATTTTTTGTGAAGTTTATTGACGCATTGACTTGCCGGTTTTAGTTGTAAATGCACCTGTGAGCATATTTCTGTCCTCTGGTCACTATTTTACTATATTCTCTTATGGTTAAAGAAGTTTACGACAATAATTGTGTGGTTAGTCCGTGGTCTATGTCGTCTGTAAAATTTTGATGTAGAAGTTATTCGTCTGTACCTTGTATTCAAAGCCAAATGACTTCTAAGTCTTAAAAATATAATTGTTAATGTCCGTGTCCCTGAAATAACCAATCGGGATGTTGTATTTAATTCTGGTTGGACAATGGTACCTATAAGTGTGTTATTTTTGGTTATGGTGGTCCCCAGGACATTACACTTTCAGTATAATTTCTTGAAATTGGAGGGATGGAAGTTTATTGGCATATTGTCTTCCAAATTTTCTTTGACAACTCGGTTTTCTATCTCATTGCAAATGAAACTCTCTACAACTGAATGTGACTATAATTTTCCATGACATTAATGTTGTTTTCTGAAGTTTCTTATTGCGGATCCCAATCATGTTTCCTGCCCTATGGATATGATAAAACTCTTCTAATCAGGAGATTAAGCACTTGATGCGACCTGACAGTTATTGTTTTTGAGAGGATTATCATCCTCGCAGATAAGAAAGGACACTGTGCCTCATTTATGTTTTGGTAGCTGTTTTGACTAACTTTTTAGAAGTAAACATTTTAAATTGTGCAAGGGCAAGTTTGCTAAAGAGCAAATGCAATTGTTCATCCTTTTTTCGTGGAACTGAAAATAGTTCTAAGGTAGCAGGGAGAGGGCAACGAATTTTGCCGTTGCATGTGGGCAAGAAAGCTTTTATTCTAGGCGAAAAATTCCACCATGTAGTCCTCTTCGAAACGCCTCGCGCCTCCACTTGAAGGACGCGTTGTTTAAACACGAAGCTTCTTCCGTCGGTATTTCCGCGCGCCGTACGTCGCGGTCGCGCGGCGCGACCCCGCGGCCCGCGGCCGGGATCAGCCGGGCTCAGCCCCCCATCCCATTCTGTGTGAGCGGCCGCGCCACGCCTCGCCACGCCCCCTGACCTGCCCCACCTGATTAGCATGATGATCACCTTATGTAAAGACCTACACGGTGTCTTAAAGAAAAACGACAACAAGAAAACAAACAAAAAAAAAATCAACGAAAGAAAACTTGTAGCCGACGACTATGTCAGCAACCTGGCATGACCCTATGACCCGGGCCCATGAACACGTCTTGCCGGAGCGGAGAGTTCTACCCGATCAAACGCCCGCAATGGCCCGCCCCTCAGCCTCAGCGCAGGGGTTCCAATATATGCCAACCTCGGGTCGGGTCGACGGGGTGGGCCAGGGGGTGGGCGGCCAGGATGGAGCGCAATGGCCCTGTGTCAACACGAGCTACCCCTCGTACAGTGTTATTGTCTCGGCGGGGCGGGGCGGTGGCCCGGTGGAAAGTGTACGAGTTAGTACACCGTTAGTACACCCTCTTCTCGCTTCGTAATTAATACATCGTATAGGGGTATAGGTACTGTATCGTCTATTATGCTGGATTTTTCTTAACGTTAGTGCGTCACCGTGACGTGTTATTACTCGTTATTCGGCTGTAATGATTTGGGTACAAACGCTAGTGCGCCACGAGTGACTGTCGGGTTGGTGCCCCGGTGCCCTGCCCCTCTGCCCTCCCTCCCGTCAACCGTGTGAGTCAGCAGCACGGTCGGGCCGCCGGCCTGGCCGCTCGCCGCCCACCCCGCGCCGCCGTGCCCGCGCCAACATCCTGGGAGAGGATGGCCAAATCGTCTTGTTCGTGTCATTGGCGCCTCCCCCCCCCAACCTCTTCCTCCTCCTCCCTCTCTCGGTTCTCTTTCTCTTGCCGCCGCTGCTGTTACCGTGGAAGGAAGCGGCAGCCCCGTTTACGCCGTCCTCACAAAAAGCGCCCACTTCCTTCCCTCGCCGGGCCGGGCCAGGCGTGTTCCCGCGCTCTTGTGGTCTTCCCTCTCACCTCGCCGGCGGCGGGGCCCTCCTCTTGGTTCTTGGTGGCGCGCGGGGTCGGGCCTTTGCTGCTGCACTTTACTACTTCCTGGCCGCAGCAGCCGTAGCAGCAGCCCGCCTTTTGAAAACTTGTCATATTTTCTCAGAAGGAGGAGGAAGAGAAGGAGGGATGACGGGGATGAGAAGGGAGTCTGCGCCCTGGCGCCGCCGCCCGCCGCGCCTCGCACGGGGCAGGGGCTACTAAGATAAAGTCAAGGGGAGTGAGCGTCGTCGTCGTCGTCTCGTGGTAAAGTGAAGGGGAAGGGAAAAGGCGGGATAAGAAAGCAGAGAGGTCCGTTGATGAGCCCTGGCCCGGCCTCTGGCCCAGCCGGGCATGTTTAAAGATGACGCACCTCGCCTCGCCCCGCCCCGCCCGGGTCGCGCTGTCGCGCTCGCCCTCACCTCCGCCCTCCTGACTCACATCATCGCCATGGGTAACGCACAACACTGCGGCGTGGTGGTGACGTCGCCGCCCGAGAGAGAGAGAAAGGGACGGACGGGCGGGCGGTCGGGTATGGGTTATCAGGTGCGAGAGAGAGAGAAAGAGAGATGCGCGTGCTTCGGCCCGCGTCTCTCTCGCACCACTCAAAGCAGTGCGTCGTCGCGGTGCAGATAGTATAATGCACTCGTCCCGGCCGCGGCACGTTGGCTCTATGGCTCTGCTGCGGCGCTCTGCGGGAGGGCGGCGGCCGGGGGGCAGCGGGCAGCTAATAGTCGGCTGGAAAGGAGAAAGTGCGCGGCGTGGAGCGGCGTGGCGCGGGTTAGTGTCCTCCACGCGGGCGGCGCTGGGGCAGCGCGCGGCAGAGCCTGTGACTCACTACCACGCGGCCCTTATCACTCGCTGCCTCGCCCCGCCCCGCCCGGGCCAACAGACGCGCACGGCCGAGAGAAGGTGAAGGTCTTTGTCGTGCTGCTGCTCCTGCTGCTGCTGCTGCTGCTGCTGCTGCTGCTGCTGCTGCTGCTGCTGCCGCTGCTCTCCAGCCGCGGGCGCGGATAGCGGGGCGGGGGGTGGCGTCATCGAGATTGTACACACAACGACTGTCCTGTTCGTGCTCGTGCATCCGCGAGCAGCTCGACGGCGACGGCGACGACGACGCCTTGCTTGCTGTCGCTGCGGTCGGTCTGCTCGGCTCTGCTCGCTATCCCCTCTCTCGCAGCCTCTATTCCCAACAATGTCGCGGCGGTAGCAGCAGCCGCAAGGTCGGTAAAAAGTGTGACACACCTTGTACTTTGCGTGTCACCCGCTGTACTTTGCGTGTCACACCCCTGCTTTGTCTGTCACACCTTTTACTTTGCGTGCCAATGCCAAGCTTCGTACTTTTGTGTGTCACACCTCGTACTTTGTGTGTCACACCTCGTACTTTGTGTGTCACATCCCGCCCCGTACTTAGTGTGTCACACTCTGACTTTGTGTCACTTGGTACATATCTCACATGTACAGTATAGCGGGCTGGTGGGTGTGTTCGAGTTGCTCTTCGGAGAACCCCGTCGACTCCTTCGCAGATGCCAGTGCTGCCGGTGGTGGTGGCGGCTTGTGTCTTGGTGGACGCGTCCCGATGGCTGCCAGCTGATGTCGCTTCTTGGTCGAATTCGCCATGGTTGTGAGGTCGGGTCGGCGGGCCGTCTATTGCGTTGCCGGAACAGGGAATGGCGATGTCGCGACTCCTCCCAGTCCTCCACCGTTGTCCCCAGCCCGGGGGGGGGG